GATGATACCATGGAAAACATTGAAACAACTGTCAAAGAAAATGCAAAATTCAAAAAGCTCCTAACCCAAAATGTCCAGGAAATCCAGGACACAGTGAGAAGACCAAACCTAAGAATAATAGGTATAGACGAGAGTGAAGATTCCCAACTTAAAGGGCCAACAAATGTCTTCAATAAAATTATAGAAGAAAACTTCCCTAGCCTAAAGAAAGTGATGTACATGAACATACAGGAAGCCTACAGAACTCCAAATACACTAGACCAGAAAAGAAATTCCTCCCATCACATAATAATCAAAATATCAAATGCAAAAACAAAGAAAGAATATTAAAAGCAGTAAGGGAAAATGGTCAAGTAACATATAAAGGCAGACCTATAAGAATTACAGCAGACTTCTCATCAGAAACTATAAATGCCAGAAGATCCTGGACTGATATCATACAGACAATATGGAGAATATAAATGCCAGCCCAGGCTACTATACCCAGAAAAACCCTAATCACTCTAGATGAAGAAACCAAGATAAATCATGACAAAAACAAATTCACACAATATCTTTCCACAAATCCAGCCCTACAAAGGATAATAGATGGAAAACTCCAACACAAGGAGGGAAACTACAACCTAGAAAAACCAAGAAAGTAATCTTCTGACAAACCCTAAAGAAGATATCTACACAAACATAATTCCACCTCTAATAACAAAAATAATAGGAAGCAACAATAATTGTTCCCCCAATTTAAAAGGAGTAGACTAACAGACTGGATACATAAACAGGACACAAAATTTTGCTGCATACAAGAAATACACCTCAGTGACAAAGACAGTCACTACCTTATAGTAAAAGGCTGGAAAACAATTTTCCAAGCAAATGTTCCCAAGAAAAAAGCTGGAGTAGCCATTCTAATATCGAATAAAATCGACTTTCAACCAAAAGTTATCAAAAAAGATAAGGGAGGTCACGTCATACTCCTCAAAGGAAAAATCTACCAAGATGAACTCTCAATTCTGAATATCTATGCTCCAAATGCAAGGACACCCACACTCTTAAAAGAAACCTTACTAAAGCTCAAAGCAAAAATTGCACCTCACATAATAATAGTGGGGGATTTCAACATCCGACTCTCAGAAATGGACAGATCATGAAAACAGAAACTAATAGAAGTTATGAAGCAAATTGTTTTAACAGATATCCATAGAACATTTCATCATAAAACAAAAGAATATACATTTTTCTCAGCACCCCATGGCACCTTCTCTAAAATAGACTATATAATTGGTCGAAAAACAGGTCTCTACAGATACAAGAAGATTGAAATAATCACTTGCAACCGATCAGATCACCACAGACTAAGGCCAGTCTTCAATAATAACAAAAACAATGGAAAGCCCACATAAATGTGGAAACTGAACAAAGTTCTACTCAATGATAACTTGGTCAAGGAAGAAATAGAAAGAAATTAAAGACTTTTTAGAATTTAATGAAAATGAAGGTTCATCATACCAAAACTTATGGGACACAATGAAAGCAGTGTTAAGAAGAAAACTCATACCTCTAAGTGCCTACAATAAAAAACTGGAGAGACCATACACTAGCAGCTTGACAGCACACCTGAAAGCTCTAGAACAAAAAGAAGCAAATACACCCAAGAGGAATAGATGGCAGGAAATAATCAAACTCAGGGCTGAAATCAACCAAGTAGAAACAAAAAGAACTATACAAAGTATCAACCAATCCAGGAGCTGGTTCTTTGAGAAAATCAACAAGATACATAAACCTTTAGAAAGACTAACCAGAGGGCACAGAAACAGTATCCAAATTAATAAAATCAGAACTGAAAAGGGAGACATAACAAAAAAAACTGAGGAAATTCAAAAAATAATCAGATCCTACTACAAAAGCCTATACCCAACAAAACTGAAAAATCTGGATGAAACGGACAATTTTCTAGACAGATACCAGGTACCAAAATTAATCAGTAGCAAATAAACCATCTAAACTGTCCCATAACCCTTAAAGAAATAGCAGCAGTCATCAAAAGTGTCTTCACCAAACAAAAGCCCACGACTAGATGGTTTTAGTGCAGAATTCTATCAGACCTACAAGGAAGATCTAATATCAATTCTTTTAAAATTATTCCACAAAATAGAAACAGAAGGAACACTACCCAATTAGTTCTAAGAAGCCACAACTATGCTCATACATAAACCATGCAAAGACACAAGAAAGAAAGAGAACTTCAGAAAAATATCCCTTATAAATATCAATGCAAAAATACTCAATAAAATTCTAGCAAACCAAATCCAAGAACACATCAAAACAATCATTTATCATGATCAAGTAGGCTTTATCCCAGGATTGCAGAGATGGTTCAATATATGGAAATCTATCAACATAATCCACTATATAAATAAACTCAAAGGAAAACAAAAGACCATCTCACTAGATGCTGAGAAAGCATTTGACAAAATTCAACAGCCTTTCATGGTAAAAGTCCTGGAAAGATCAGGAATTCCAGGCCCATACCTAAGCATAGTAGAAGCAATATACAGCAAGCCAGTAGCCAACATCAAACTAAATGGAAAGAAACTTGAAGCAATTCCACTAAAATCATGGACTAGACAAGGCTGCCCACTCTCTCTCTACCTATTCAAGATAGTACTGGAAGTCCTAGCCAGAGCAATTAGACAACAAAAGGAAGGCAAAGAGATGCAAATTGGAAAAGCAGAAGTCAAAATATCACTATTTGCAGGTGATATGTTAATATACGTAAGTGATTCCAAAACTTCTACCAGAGAACTCCTAAACCTGATAAACAATTTCAGCAAAGTGTCTGGATATAAAATTAACTCAAACAAATCAGTAGCCTTCCTCTACTCAAAGTATAAACAGGCTAAGTAAGAAATTAGGGAATGACAGGCTTCACGATAGTCACAAATAATATAAAATACCTTGGTGTGAATCTAACCAAACAAGTGAAAACAAAAGATCTGTATGACATGAACTTCAAGACTCTGAAGAAAGAAATCGAAGATCTTAGAAGATGGAAAGATCTCCCATGCTCATGGATTGGCACGATTAATATAGTAAAATAGTCATCTTGCCGAAAGCAATGTAGAGATTTAATGCAATCCCCATCAAAATTCCAACTCAATTTTTCATAGAGATAGAAAGAACAATTTGCAAATTTATTTGGAATAACAACGAACCCAGGATAGTGAAAACTATTCTCCACAATAACAGAACTTCTGGGGAAATCACCATCCCTGACTTCAAGTCGTACTACAGAGCAATAGTGATAAATACTACATGGTATTGGTACAGAGAGATGCAAGAGGAACAGTGGAATAGAATTGAAGACCCAGAAATGAACCCACACTCCTATGGTCACTTGATCTTTGACAAAGGAGCTAAAACCGTCCAGTGGAAAAAGGACAGCATTTTCAACAAATGGTGCTGGTCCAACTGGAAGACAACATGTAGAAGAATGAAAATTGATCCATTCTTATCTCCTTGTACAAAGCTCAAGTCTAAGTGGATAAAGGACCTCCACATAAAACCAGATGCACTGAAACTAATAGAAGAGAAAGCGGGGAAGAGCCTCGAATACTTGGGCACAGGGGAAAAGTTCCTGAACAGAACACCAATGGCTTATGCTCTAAGAACAACACTCGACAAATGGGACATCATAAAACTGCAAACTTCTGTAAAGCAAAGGACACTGTCAACAGGACAAAACGGCAACCAACAAATTGGTAAAAGATCTTTACCAACTCTACTTCTGATAGAAGGCTAATATCCAATATATACAAAGAACTCAAGAAATTAGACTCCAGACATTCAAATAATCCTATTAAAAATGGAGTACAGAGCTAAACAAAGAATTCTCAACTGAGGAAACTTGAATGCCCAAAAAGCACCTAAAGAAATGTTCCACTTCTTTAGTCATCAGAGAAATGCAAATCAAAACAACTCTGAGATTCCACCTCACACCACTCAGAATGGCTAAGATAAAAAACTCAGGTGATAGCAGATGCTGGCAAGGATGTGGAGAAAGAGGAACACTGCTCCATTGCTGGTGGGATTGCAAGTTGGTACAACCCCTCTGGAAATCAGTCTGATGGTTCTTCAGAAAATTGGACATAATATTATCTGAGGACTCAGGTATACAACTCCTGGGCATATATCCAAAAGATGTTCCAACATATAACAAGGACACATGCTCCCCTATGTTCATAGCAGCCTTATTTATAACACCCAGAAAGTGGAAAGAACTCAGATGTCCTTCAACAGAGAAGTGGATACAGAAAATGTGGTACATTTACACAATGGAGTATTACTCAGATATTAAAAACAATGAATTCATGACATTCTTAGGCAAATTGATGGAACTTGAAACTATCATCCTGAGTGAGGTAACTCACTCACAGAAGAAGACAGATGGTATGCACTCACTGATAAGTTAATATTAGCCCAAAAGCTCGCAATATCCAAGATTCAACTCACAGACCACATGAAGCTCATGAAGAAGGAAGACCAAAGTGTGGGTGCTTCGGTCCTTCTTAGAAGGAGTAACAAAATACTCATGGGAACAAATATGGAGACAAAGTGTAGGACAGAAACTGAAGGTGGTGCTGTCTGGAGATCATTCCACCTGGGTATCCATCCCATGTGCTGTCACCAAAGGCAGATGCTGATGTGGATGTCAGGAAGTGCACGCTGACAGGAGCCTGATATAGCTGTTTTCTTAGATGTCTGCCAGAGCCTGACATATACAGAGGCAGATGCTCACAGCTAACCATTGAACTGATCATGGAGCTCCCAATGGAGGAGTGAGAGAGAAGATTGAAGGAGCTGAAAGGGTTTTTAGCCCCATGGGGAGAGCAACAATGCCAACCAACCACAGCTCCCAGGGTCTAAACCACTAGCTTGGGAGCACATAGGGAGGGATCCATGGCTCCAGCTGTATATGTAGGGGAGGTTGGCCTTGTCAGTCATAGATGGAACAGGAGGTCCTTGGTCCAGTGAAGGCTGGAAGCCCCAGTGTGAGGTAATTCAATGGTCAGGAGATAGGAGTGGATGGGTGTGTGGGGGCACACCCTCATAGAAGCAGGAGGAGGTGGGATAGGATGGAGGTTTCTGGGGGGATGGGGAAAGGGGATAACAACTGAAATGCAATTAAATAAAATATCCAATTAAAAAGAAAAAGTACACTTGTTATATCACCCTAAGACTGTACTCTGGAGAGTTTACCACACAGAAATTACTTATTTTAAAAGCTATAATTAATTCTAAACATCATTCAGTTAGAGAACACATAATTTAGATGGCTTCATAGAAATTATTTGTAGGGGAAAATTAATCACAAGCAGTTATGTTTTATACAGTTCCTTGTATCAAATATTTGTAATACAATATTATTGAGATATAGAACACAAAATTGCTAGGAATTAAAGTAGAATATAGAAGGGAGCGTATTGCAGCAATGGAAACACTTGCATATAATGGAATAAGATTATTTTAGTGTAGATTGCAGGAGAAAATATGTAGTGTGTAAGTACAGCACCACATGCAAATAGACAGTTGAGTGGATGCAAACTGTGAAGTTTTAATGATTTTCATATTTCACTATAGTTATATAAGCTACTAATATTGCAACAGGCTGTACAAACTATATAGGAATTCCTTGTATTTTTTTCTTTGAAACGATCTGTGAATTTGTAATTATCAATTGAAAGGGAGAGAGCTGATTGGAAAGAAATCAGGAAAAATGTTCAGGTATGTTGTCATTTTATTGGTAAGTATGTAAATTGTTGACTTAAATTAATTTTGATCAAAATAATGAATAAGTGTAGTTTAAAAGTACACAATAAGCTTTATCTAGTTCAACTTACAGATATGTTGTTAGTTTTATGCTAATTTTGTAACTGAATGCTGGACATACTAGAAATTGCTGTATAGAAATCAATCAGAGCATCTGTGATTATTCATACAGGACCCTCAGAATATTAACATTTGGCCCATTAACATTCCCTTATATTAAGGGAAGTAAGAAATTAGAAGGCCTATAGGGTAGTGTAGGAAGCAGCAATGAGAAAACAGTGAAGAAGATGCAAGAGGCCCCACCACTACAGAATGATATACAAACAATTAACAACTATTTAAAGGGGTGAATGATTATTCCACAATAGTCTATGTTCTTATATGTTGTCACGAGCCATAATGAGACAAGCTAATAACTAGCAGGTGATCATCCTGAAATGTCTTCCCTTGGATTATTATATAATCTGTGACAAATGAGTGCTTATTCTACAAGGCTGTAAGGGACTTGTTTTAGGAAAGATTCCTGATATTAATATGCTTTTCCTATTATGAATATTATACAATATAACAATCACTAAGCAATAGCACACCTCTTTGAAGCAGATCTCTGCAGAGCTACGAAGATGTACTGTCTTGTAGTGATGGTATATAGACAAATAGATGACTTCTTACATCTTAATAATGATCCTATAAGAATTCCTGAAATTATGTCAATGATTATTAAGCTCTTTTGTAGTGGGTCTGCTATTAGGTCATTTTCTGATAGTCAAAATTGCAATGAGAACTCTACCAGTCTCCTAAGTGTCATCAGCTATTTGCTCTTAGATAGTAATCAGAATTTCTCCTACTCAGAGCACATTCTAAAAGGTTGTAAAATAATTAATCAAAGGTCACTAAAAGGGAACTCATGATTTATTATAGGTGCTAAGATAGAAGAGAAAATATTTCCTGGGTTTATCTATACAAAACTTTACTAATTTCTTAGTTATAGATTTAAACCTTCAGTGAACCTGTGGAGCAAGACAGGTGATGGATGTTTAGCCAGATAATTACTCCTAATGGATATGCATGTAAACATTCTCAGTTGTAAACTTCTGTTTCAATTTATGATTTTTGGTGTGAACTTGTGATGAACTTTGTAACATGTGATCACGTACTCTGAAAGATGTTTAAGTGTTGAAGACAAAGAGCTAGTAGTAGTAGTAGTAGCCGCCATTTTTCCATTCCTTTCCTTTTCCCCTGCCTAGAATTTTCTCCCTTAGAATTTTTACCTTAGCTTTCTGCTCTTTGATGCTGAGGAGGAAGCATCGCTGAAGGCTCTGATCATCCTGCCATCATGTCTAAGTCAGTCTCCCAAGGAGCCGGAACAGCTGCGGAAGCTCTTCATCGGAGGGCTGAGCTTTGAAACAACTGATGAGAGTCTGAGGAGCCATTTTGAGCAATGGGGAACACTAACCGACTGTGTGGTACTGAGAGATCCAAACACCAAGAGATCCAGGGGCTTTGGGTTTATCACATACGCCACTGTGGAAGAAGTGGATGCTGCCATGAACGCAAGACCACACAAGGTGGATGGAAGAGTCGTGGAACCTAAGAGGGCTGTGTCAAGAGAAGATTCTCAGAGACCAGGTGCCCACTTAACTGTGAAAAAGATCCTTGTTGGTGATATTAAAGAAGACACTGAAGAACATCACCTACGAGAATATTTTGAGCAGTATGGGAAAATTGAAGTGATAGAAATTATGACTGACAGAGGCAGTGGGAAAAAGAGAGGCTTTGCTTTTGTCACCTTTGATGACCATGACTCTGTGGATAAGATTGTTATTCAGAAATACCATACTGTGAATGACCACAACTGTGAAGTAAGAAAGGCTCTGTCGAAGCAAGAGATGGCTAGTGCTTCATCCAGCCAGAGAGGTCGAAGTGGTTCTGGAAACTTTGGTGGTGGTCGTGGAGGCGGTTTTGGTGGTAATGACAATTTTGGTCAAGGAGGGAACTTCAGTGGTCGTGGTGGCTTTGGTGGCAGCCGTGGTGTTGGTGGTGGATATGGTGGCAGTGGGAATGGCTATAATGGATTTGGCAATGACGGAAGCAATTTTGGAGGTGGTGGAAGCTACAATGATTTTGGCAATTACAACAATCAGACTTCAAATTTTGGACCGATGAAGAGAGGGAACTTTGGAGGCAGGAGCTCTGGCCCTTATGGTGGCAGAGGCCAGTACTTTGCTAAACTACGAAACCAAGGTGGCTATGGAGGTTCCAGCAGCAGCAGTAGCTATGGCAGTGGCAGGAGGTTCTAATTACAGCCAGAAAACAAAGCTTAGCAGGAGAGGAGAGCCAGAGAAGTGACAGGGAAGCTACAGGTTACAACAGATTTGTGAATTCAGTCAAGCACAGTGGTGGCAGGGCCTAGCTGCTACAAAGAAGACATGTATTAGACAATACTCATGTGTGTGGGCAAAAACTCCAGGACTGTATTTGTGACTAACTGTATAACAGGTTATTTTAGTTTCTGTTCTGTGGAAAGTGTAAAGCATTCCAACAAAAGGTTTTACTGTAGACCTTTTTCACCCATGCTGTTGATTGCTAAATGTAATGGTCTGATCATGACACTGAATAAATGTGTCTTTTTTTTTTTAAATGTGCTGTGTAAAGTTAGTCTACTCTTGAAGCCATCTTGGTAAACTTCCCCAACAGTGTGAAGTTAGAATTACTTCAGGGTGATGCCAAGTTCCATTTGGAATTTATTTATGGTTGCTTGGGTGGAGAAGCCATTGTCTTCAAAAACCTTGGTGTTGTTAAACTGCCAGTTACTGTTGTAACTTAAAGAGTTTCACCATTGAAAGGGTCATCCAAGCAAGGTCACAATTTGGTTATAAAATGGTTGTTGGCACACCCTATGCAATATCAAAATTGAATAACGGTATCAGATAAAATAACAGATGGGAATGAAGCTTGTGTATCATCCATTATCATGTGTACTCAATAAACGATTTAATTCTCTTGAAAAAAAATTTTTACCTTATTAGAATTTTTTCCTTTTCCCTACTTAGGACCTTTCCCCCTTAGATAGCTTTCATAGGAAACTTTTAACAACTTAGTAATAAATGCTATAACCACATCTCTAAGTGTCTTTTCTTCCTGGGACCTCAGACTAGCTGGCATAGGTTAGAGCCCAGAAGGTCCTGCTGAGATAGTACAAAGGCTATTTACTTAATCCTTTGCTGTTTTGGGGCTGATGTGGTAAGTGTAAGAAACTGTAGTTTCTGGCCTCAGAGGATACCAGAGGGCAGGTCAGCTAAAGTAGCATAGTAAGTAAACTTTCCTAGCGTAACAAGTAAACTTTTATTATACAGCAACCCTAAATATCTCTTAAGACAAAAGTCTTACCCTGAATCTTGTAAGACCAAAGTCCTACCCCCCACCCCGCACTGATGCTCTTCCCCCTTTGTGGTCTCAAGAAGAACCAAGAAGAAGAAGAAAAAAGATACCCCACCAAGCCAGGGATGGCCACCAGCGATATGTAACCCCAGTAACTTATAGATTCCCCAAGCTACATGTATTTCAGTCAGTACTTAGACAAATTCCTAAATCCCTTTATAACCAATTTTAGAAGCTTAATCATTGAATTAAATTCCATATATACACCTCTCAGTATGATGCCAGGAAAATACTTGAAGATTACAGTTCATATTCACATTCCAAACCATAAAGTTTTGCTTACATCAGAAGTAATCCCTACTAATCATGACATTTTGTACCAAAGTACCCTAAAGGGAAATGGAAGTTTATTTTTAAAAAAATTAAATGAGTAAGAATATTCATCTTTAATCAGAACTACTATGTAGAAGTTTTGCAGTATAGATTCATGTAAATGTTTCACATTACCAAACATTTATTATCCCATTTTACATTCTCAGTTCTAAGTGACAACATTCTCAGTGGTAATGTTATTGGGTCATGCATTGTAGGAGATACTATTATGTCGTTCCATAGAACAAACTGTCTATTCAGACCCCTTTAACCATCCACATATACCTTTTTATCCCCATTATTGGAAATTCCCTTGGTATTTCTGAATTCCAGCTATAAAGAGACCTTGAAAGTGTAGTTTCTCCAAGGGTCTTTTTGGCGTAAGATGAAGAAACCTATATTGTGGTTTATAAAAGAGGCGATGTTTATAGGACAGCTTGATTGCAATCTTGTACAGAGACATGTGAATACACATGATAGTATTTCAAGGATCATTCTATCATTCTAGGAAGCCTCATAATCCTACTTATGATGCACTTTTCCATAGCACATATTTTCATCTATTCTATAATATTTCTATTTCTGTGATCTCCCACACACACATATATGTGTGGGTGTGGTATGTGTGGGTGTGTGGTGTGTGTATGTGTGTATATGTGTGTGAGAGTGTATGTTAATTTTCTTTCTATTGCTGTCATAAATGCACCTACCATGGAGTAGGTAAAGGTTTATGTTATCTTACAGCTTATAGTCCATTATGAAGGAAAATCAATTCTAGAAATCAAGTAGGGCAAGAAGTAAAGCAGAAAGCAAGGAAGGATACTACTTACTGGCTTGTTCCTCAAGGGTTGCTCAGCCTACTTTCTTATATAACCCAGAACCGCTTGCCTAGGAGTAGTTCTGTCTACAATGTATTGTCTCCCTTATCTCCAAACCATTAGTTTAAAAAAAATGCTTCTAAAGATTTGGCTACAGGGCACTTGATCCTTCTTCCTTGCTTGGCTTATGTTCACAAAAACACTAATAATCACATGTCTACACCTCACACATAAATTTTCATTACTAGAAATACTGAGTAGTATGGCGCTTCCCTTTTGTTTTCTGTACCCATCCTCTCTGACTCCATATGAGGAACAGTCTTCTTTTTGGAGACATGTATATGTGTATGTGTATAGGTATATACACATACACATATATATGATAGTCACTGTAAGTTTAATATACATATATATGATATATATATACCCATATATACCTTTAAAGATAAATATTCAATATTCACGATATAGATATATCATACATATATGTAGATATATGGTATATCTATGTCTTGAATATTTATAAGATATATACATATGTATATGATATATGGGGAGGTTAAAGAGTTCCTAAGTTTTGATATATATATATGTATATACATATATGGTATATCTATGTTTTAAATATTTATCTGTATTTATATTTATCTGTATCTATATTCATATATATCATATGGTATATATGATATATATCAAACTTAGGAACTCTTTACCCTCCCCATATATATATTTGAATGACATGTTTGACTTTATAGACTCAGATAAGTCAACTAAATATCCTCATTAAAGATGATAAAATGAAAAGTAAAAGAGACATTCCAACAAAAGCTATGACCAATTCTAGTTGAAGAACTTCCAATGGTTGAAGAAAATTGGAAAATACTGGTAAAAGACTCCATATCTAAAGAAGTGAGGCATGGAAGTGGAGCTCTGAGAATGGAAATCGAGATAAAGAGATGAACTCTTAGGAAGTCTAGGTGAATGGTAGTGCTTTGAGACCTACAATGAAACCAAGAAGCAAAAGTTATCTACGAATGTATACAAGTAATATATCATATGTATGTTTTTAAAATTAAGGTGAATTAAGTGTTCGTGTATAAAGTTATCTATGAATGTATACAAGTAATATATCATATGTATGTTTTTAAAATTAAGGTGAATTAAATGTTCATGTATATGTATATGGTTGTGTGCCTGCCAAGGTATACATGTGAATGTCAGAGGGCAAGTTACTGGGATCAGGGTCAGTTCTTTCATTTATATCATGTTTGCCTAGGAAAGGGACTCAACTAATCATACTTGGTAGTGGGCACATTTTTACCTTCTATGCGTTCAGCTTTATTATTGTATTATAAACTCTTAGGGCCAACTTCCAATTATTTTATTTTGTGTGTACCACCGTTCTACAATGGAGTAAAATTTGGACTAAGATAGCCATACTAAGATAGGAAGTACTAATAGCCCATCTAAGGCAAGAAGGGAGTTATCACTAAATTAAGCCCCAGTGTATAAGAGAGGTTCATTTATTTCCAAAAGCTGATCCATTTATTTTCAGTACTGCTAACTTACTAAAGGATCAAACAGAATATATTTCACTATATGATCAAAACAGAAGGATGATTCACTGACTTTTCCAGGTTGGTACTACATTAATTAATGTGCTGGTACACCCTTGCAGACACCTTCTTGCACAGCTCTACTAGGTGACATATTGGCAGCCAGACAAGTTACCCCATGAGGTCACTGCAATAATGTTCAACTATTGTATACTGCCTTTGTTGTTGCCAATTTTTATTCCTGTATTGTGTCAAATGGGGCTAGATTCCCAGACTGCTCATCACTCCCCATCTCGTATTTCTCTGGAAAAAAGATGACCCCATGACCTCCTTTTCTTCTTTCATCTCAGCATGGGCAAGCTCCAGCTCTATGGATCTTGGGCACACTTCTCAAACCAACACTGAGGTCTTTCCTGTCTCTGGACTTTTGTACTTGCTGTGATCTCTACACAGAATGTTTTGAACTAGATAAGCAGGTATCTAGTTAGCGCTTATCATTCCAGTGTTAGCTTAAATGTCAGTTCTTTTATTTAAAGGAACAGTTTTTTCTAACACCTCGGGTGCTCTTTTGCCCATTACTAAGGCATTCTGTCTCCAGTGGCATCATTATCTCTGCATTCTCAAATTGATCAAGGCAGGAGAAGATAACCACATGGAAACTTTGATATTAGAATAGATAACCTTTTGCTAATGAAAAGTTCCTTTTGATTTTCCTGAAGTGCTATGATGTAGTGAAGAGAAGATATATTACTTAGAACCCTTTTGATTTCAAATGGCAGAAACTTCACTCAAATCCTACTTAACAAGAACAGAACTTTACTAGCTTGTGGATGGAATACCCAAGGGGTGTGTTGGCTTTAGTCGCGACAAGGTATGAGGGGTTGAACAGTATCAGAAGTAATCTGTCTATTCTTCTCTGTAACTGGGCTTTGCCCTTTTCTCTGTTGACTTTTTTCTTTAGTATAGTCTTTCCCATGGCAAGAAACAGAATCACTAAGCTCAATACTTCAAACAGAGCTATGAACAAGTATATATGCTATATATTCTCTGAGAGGTAGAGTGGTGAATGGTGAGATACCTTGGACTTTATCCTTGTCTAACACAATGTTGGAATAGAATGGACAGCAAGCAAGCAATAGCAAGATACACACATACAAATACAAATAAAGAAAG